CTTTTCCAAATTAAATGAAACCTTTTCCAAATTAAATGAAACCTTTTCCAATTGAAATGAAACCTTTTCCAATTGAAATGAAACCTTTTACAAATAGAATGAAACTTTTTCCAAATTAAATGAAACCTTTATTCTTATCCAAGAAAATATATTATTTCCAGCAATTTTAAATCAATATTTGAAAATTAAATCAAATCAATGGCTATGTAATTAACATAAATATTCTTTAATTCGGTGTGATTTTATTTTATATCTTTACTAAATAAAACTAAAAAAATAGTAATACAAACTGGGGTATTTCTTGACATTTATTGACAAGGTAACTTTTATTTTTAAAAATGCTTTTTCGATTGGATTTGCCATTGGAGAATAAGGCGGTAAGAATTTAAGGTTGCATCTTTTGGATTCGATCAAATTTTGTATGTCATGTCGCTTGTGTATTTGAGCGTTATTTTCCAACTCTGGATTGATTTCCTCCAAAAGACTTTCTATAAATAATTTAAATCTGTCCACATTGGCACTGGAATTAGAAATGATTGTGTGATTGGGATATCCCCAATATTCATTGATCGTTGTTGGGGTATCCATTTTGTAAAGTCTTGAGCATATTTTTGTCTCAAGCCTAATGTTCTGGAGTCATTCATTAGTTCTATTTCAATAGAGGCCATCTTCAACGTAATTTGTAATTTCCGTAATCCATTTTCTACGGAGCTTGTGGAAATATTTATATCATTTTGTCTCAACAGTTTAGTTTTTATGGCTTTGAGGGTAATAGATATAACTCGATCAGACTTAAAACTTGTGGTGTCAAAAATTTAGTTCTATTTCCTCCACGCTTATTTTCCTTCCAGAATTTCTTTTTGTATCTTCTTATTAATGCTTGTGCTGAAATTATTTTTATGCAGGTTAAAATCGGAAATTGTTCTACACTCTTCATACAATTTACATAATAAAAATTTCATGTCTTTTATTATTTTGTTATACTGACCCAACGATTTTGCTTCGGTAAGCATTTCCATTTGCAATACTTGGCGAGGTTATAGATTTTTCTTCAGATTCCCAATTATCAGAGGTTCCCGAGCTAAATCAGGTTAGCTCATAATTATTTAATTGTGTATGGCTACCTATACAAAACACTACTAAATGAATGACTCTAGAACATTAGGATTGAGACAAAAATATGCTCAAGACTTTACAAAATCGATACCCCAACAACGATCAATGAATATTGGGGATATCCCAATCACACAATCATTTCTAATTCCAGTGTCAATGCAGACAGATTTAAATTATTTATACAAAGTCCTTTGGAGGAAATCAATCCAGAGTTGGAAAATTCGTTCTTGATAATGGATAACGCCAAATACACAAGCGACATGACATACAAAATTTGATCGAATCCAAAAGATGCAACCTTAAATTCTTACCGCCTTATTCTCCAATGGTAAATCCAATCGAAAAAGCATTTTTAACAATAAAATTATGTACAAGAGCTGAGCTGTGTGACGTTTCAATGGAACATAACATTGTTGATGTAATCGAGCGAAGTATTCAACAGCTTACTCGGCAAGATAATTCTAACTACGTTATGGACATGCAAGTCGGGAATCTATTCATTAAGATAAACAGTTACCTTGCCAATAAATGTCAAGAAATACCCCAGTTTGTATTACAATTTTTTTAGTTTTATTTAGTAAAGATATAAAATCACACCGAATTAAAGAATATTTATGTTAATTACATAGCCATACAACTATAGTTGTTAATATTCTTTGATTTAATTTTCAAATATTGATTTAAAATTACTGGAAATATTATATTTCCTTGGATAAGAATAAAGGTTTCATTTAATTTGGAAAAAGTTTCATTCTATTTGTAAAAGGTTTCATTTCAATTGGAAAAGGTTTCATTTAATTTGGAAAAGGTTTCATTTCAATTGGAAAAGGTTTCATTTAATTTGGAAAAGGTTTCATTTAATTTGGAAAAGGTTTCATTTAATTTGGAAAAGGTTTCATTTAATTTGGAAAAGGTTTCATTTAATTTGGAAAAGGTTTCATTTAATTTGGAAAAGGTTTCATTTAATTTGGAAAAGGTTTCATTTAATCTGGAAATGCTACATATTTTGTGTATGTAGTATGTACAGCATCAGAGTAATACTCATCCAATGGTGAAAATTTTGTGCGATCAAATTTCTAAAAAACCTATTTTTCGGGCCAAATTTTTAGATCGGCCAACTGAATTTCTTATAAAAAACTAAAAAATAAATATGATGACATTATTTCTTCGAACCAAAAACAAATATTTTTCATCAATATCGTATTTTGTTGTCGCTGTAATTTACAAACCGCTACACAGACATGTGGGATTTTGACATCATTTGTTTCATCATGGTGTTTAAATTATGAAGATATTTTTAAATTAATTTTAAGGTTCACACATGTCATTGATACAATGAAAATATTGACGTAATCTCCTACGTTTTTATTACTTTTCTCATATTTCGCGAAGATGTGCAACTTTTGTGCGATTATTAAAATATCTGCATATTCATATTTTACGAAGGAAGTCGTATAGCAACGCTTTTGGTCAATATAATAAACCGCGTAATTTTAAGATTTTTTTCTTATGCCCAAAATTAAAACCTCGATAATTTTTGCGTGCATCAACCAAAAATTTGATCGCGAATGTTTTAGGAGTCAGAACATTTTTGTCAATATGTATACCAAAAATCTTTGATATACCACGAAAACAAAAAGCCAATTTTTTGAAAATGGAGTATTAAAAAATTGGCAATATTGCCCATATATGTAATTCTTAGTAAGATATTACTTTATTCGAACTTAATATTTATACTGATATTGATTTAGCTAACAGCGTTCACACTAACGATATCTGTCTTAACGAATTGATTTTTCACCATGTGGTTGACCTTTTTGTGGAATTCGTGATATATATAGTTTTCGCTCTGTCATTTCTTGTTGTGGTCTTCGTTGTCTCCACAACTCTTTTCCTACGCACCTAAATCTACGCACTAGCAGTACTTCGTTATTGGATTATTTTCTGGCTAGCCAACCATCCTATGTTTTTCTTTTTAAAACACAGAAAATACAGTTGTTTCGAGTTTAAGAACTATAACCGTTTTAACGTTTCTGATTATTCAGGTATTATTGATGAATCTGACTTATGCTAAATAATACAAACAACTTGGTTCATTCTTATTTTCCTACAGTTAGAATCAAATAATAGAATTAGAATCAAATAACAAGCACAGAAACTGAGCAATTTGATTTAGATTCTATTGCAAGCTAGTTTTTTTTTTGTAATATGGGTCCTGTTGAAGATGTTTCTTTAGACTTTAATGATTGTCGATCGTACAGATTCTTGTTCGTTCCATTCAATAACTGATTATAAACTTATTCATGCTCTGAAATCTATCCTAGGCCCGATTCTCTTTCTGTCATATATAAATGATATTCGCCCATGTGCTGCATTTCGAGTTTGCTTGAATTTGAAACATTTTCCCAAATTTGGTGTGCTCCATTCCGAATTCCCAAAAAAATATTGGGAATATAATTCGAGCACATATAGCCTTGTGGATTGAAAACGAAATGAGATCGTACGTGTTTTTCTGAGCACGTAGTTGGAAAAGAACGCTGAAGTAATATTTAACGTGTTTTTACAATATTTATTTAAAAAATACAGTATTTACATTAGTTTTTATAGTAAAATTAAAGAAAATAAAAAAGGGCTCCTCCTGGTCTGCAGCTGTCCACAGCTTGCACATACTTTGTCTTCCCGGACTTTCATTACTCTCCACAATATTTTGCACATTGTTGTTCGAACACTGGTTTTTAAATCATTTGCCACTACCCTCTGAAATCCACCAACAGCCAGGAATCTTAAGGTAGCTGCTAACTGCAGGCTTTCGGGAATGGTACCCTTGTGTATGAAAGGACCAACTCCTCTCAAAATATTCATAAATGCTTATTTTAACACGTTCCAGTATCATTAGACTTTTTCTGGTAGAAACCAGGCCAATTAATAAGCCAGCAGGCATATTTTTTCTTACTTTTGTTGTTAAACAAATTGCAAATTCCAATGAAACATATGTTTTTTATTGAACACATTCCGTAACATATTGAACACAGCTATGCTTTCGAGCCGCACTTTCGCTCGAAATTGAGCACACCATTTTGCACAACATGGGAATTTAAAAAAGTATGGGAATTCAAAAACTCTCGGAACATTTTTGCCAGAATTTGAATAAATTGGAAATAAATGCTGTCAAGACAAAAGCCATTTATTTTCACACACGTCATCAGGAGACTCTTTTTTCAAGGATTGCTTTAAACGGACAAATGATCATATAGAAACTGTTGTTCAAAAAAGACTCATCCGCAATTTTTTACCATGGAAAAAATAGAAATGCGTGCTTTTATTGTAAAAAAATTGCGGATGCGTCTTTTTTGAACACCTGTTAACATGTGTTCATAACAGAATTTGAAACTTTTTTAAATTGGCATAGAAGCTTTCTTTTTACTAAATAAATAAACAAATTTAGTTTTTAACCAAATTTTATTAATTTGAATGGGCGTATCAAAAAGGGTTGTCTGATATTCATTATCTTCGAGATTGATATAGGCCTGGAAGACATATTTCAATATGCAGAGTTTGGATTAAATTGGTAACTTTTATGAATAACGCAAGTCACAAAAACGCTACCGCAAGCGTATCACTGGTGTGTAACTCTCACACTCGACAATGAAATGAAAAATACCTTTAAATTTTTGTTAAAAGAAAAATTGAGAAGTACTGTATTTAGATGTTTATTTTATTAATAATGCTTCAACGTAACATTTATTTATACTCTCCAATGAATATTAAAAATATCGATAAAAAGTCTTAATCTAAAGGACAGGAATGCGCATGCATATCTACCAATGGAATAAAAACCACCATTTCAACCCCAATGTCCCATAAAGTATGATCGAGGAGAGCTGAACTCATGACAGATCAAAATATTTATCTTACAGTCATTTAATCATTGGATTTCCTATTTGTGGTAAGTAGATTAACGGCTGTAATAGCATCGGGGAACATTGAGTGGTAATTGAGAAGTGGTACATATGTTGCACCAATTACACGCCCTGCAAACCAACGTCCATGTAATGCATTAACAGCTAATACGGCTGTTGTTATGCTCGGGCATTTTACATATACATTGCCAGTTGGAGTGACTTTATCGACAAATATATGCAAGACGCCTCCATGTTTAGAACATTCCTCAATAACATCATCACGTATTTCGGAATCCCAGTTGGGATTAGTTTCTGTGCGTGGATCGAACATATTGGATAAGAGAAAGCATTGCGTTGCTATCGGAGGATTTTGAGCCTGTGTGTTTATGGGTACTGGTTGTGGAGCGGTCGCTAACAGTGCGTTAGCAGCTGCCTGAGGAACGGCAAGACCGGCGCCTTCTGCCAATTTAAACATCAATTGTAATCTTCCAGTAGCGCCCAAATCAATGCCACTCCGATCCATTTCATCTGTATCTAGAGAAGATGTGTTCATGTCAAGTCTCTCCGTTACATTGCCAACTTTCATTGGACGTCCTGCAAGTTCGAACCCATTCAGTTGTTCCAATGCTTTTTTTGCATCCTCTGCATTGTGATACTGAAAATAAAAATGGTTAATAATACATAATGCACTTAATTTATGGCGTTATACACAATGTCGAATGAAAGAAAGACTTCGTAAACATGTTTCCTTAAAATGTATGTAAGTACCAAGGTACATATCGTCATCATAAATTCAAACGGACTTAACTACTACTATTACTACTAATTTTACAGGAGAAGGAAAAAACGTTATAAAATCTATAAAAATTGACCATTGCTCGAAATTTTTCATAGTTTAACTATAGAGCACTATAGAGCCGTATTTATTTTTTGAAAAAAGTATTTTTTTAAGGTTTTATGTCAGTTACGTCCTTTTAACTTGATATTTTCTGAAACAATTGTAGTACAACAAAGTGACAAATAATTATCCGATTGAGACTAAAATTTGTACAGCATACCAAATTGAGTCCGGAGTGACGAGTGTTAAGTTTTGTTGAAATCGGTTCAGATTTAGACATAGCTACCACACACATTTTCATCCGATTTTGTGTAAATGGTGCATTAAAGTCCCTATATTTCTCGTGAAAATCGGTTCAGATTTAGATATAGCTCCCATATCGTCATCATAAATGCAAACGGACGTAACTACAGAAAAATTCGAAATTGACTTTTTGTTTGATTAATGTTCGTTTAATCAAACTACATGTTCACACAAAAATTTAGACATCTAACGTCAAAAACAGCGATCTTATTAAAGAAATTCAAATGGACATAACTACAATAGTATGTTTTATGTAAGAAACTACACCTCGCAGTATAGAAGATATAAATTCGGAATTTATATTAATGTTACTTCTGGGATGTTTGTATTGAAAATAAGATATATCGGCCAATTTTTTACGGTAGCCCTCCATTTCGGTTTTTTCTGTAGTTACGTCCGTTTGCATTTATGATGACGATATACATAATCCACTGCTGCTTCTACAGATGTTCACAATATCAAATACACACTACAACTTGCTTGCTCTGTCTGCAGAGTTACTGTATCATGAATGGCAGTATTTCGTATTTATTTAAATTTTTATAAACCGTAAAACTAAATTGAAAATTTTTAAACTCACATTTTTCTTGAATTCTTTAAAAATATGCTTTGGAATGTACATTTCATAAATTTCATTCGACATTGTTATACATATTAGTAACATAAAAATGCTTACCGTAATAAATCCGTATCCTTTTGAGCGCCCCGTTTCCGTATCCATTATTAATTGAATTGAATCAATTTTTCCAAAAGGTTCAAATATTCCACGTAACATATCTTCCGTAATATTAAAATGTAAAGATCCCACATACAATCGCATTGGTCCAGTATGATTTTTGGGTGTAAACGTAGGTACAGCATTTGCTATACGATTTTTCTCAGCCTGTGTATGTTGCACGACAATTGGTACCCCTAACAGTCGTTGACCCGATAAACCTAAAGCAAGAGCAACGGATTCTGGATCTTTGAACTCAATATATGCTATTCCTTTAAATCGCTTTGTTTTGTTGCACGTTATTAGACGAACATCGCGTACTTTACCAACACTGGAAAAGAATTCTTCCAGATCACGGGCACGGACTCTCTGTGATAACTGCATACAGAAAATGGTACGTGCATCACGTTCTTCAGGACTGAGTTCTGCTTGTGGGGAACGATCCGGTCCCAAGCCATTGGAAGGAGTGCGCCCCCGTCGAAATGGACGCGGAGATCCACTGTGGTGGCGATAACTTAAAGAATAAATTTTATTAGATAATGTAAATATTGTAATTATTTCATGAATACCTTCTCTCACGCGATCTAGACCGCCGGTAAGAACGACTGCGTCCTCGCTCTCTTATAGGGCTGAGATGGTCTTTATGTCGACGATCCCTGGATCGACTTCGTCTGTGATCATGCGATCGACTACTCTTTCGTTCTGATCGCGATCGAGAACTTTTTCTATCCCTAGATCGAGTACGTCGTCTTTCGCGGGATCGGCTTCTAACCCTGCCATCTTTGGTGCGACTACTGTGGCGATCGCGATCTCTTTCCCTTGAAGATCTCTTTCGTTCCCTATCACACTCTTTAGATCGATAATGATCCCTATCTTTACCTCTATCACGATCCGAATAACGCTGGTGTTTGCTGTCTTCAACATCGCGTGATGTTGATCGGCTCCTGAAAAGAACAGAACTTAATATTTAAATGAAGTGAAAAACTATGTGAGTTGTATATTTAATTTTCACATATATTTAATATTGTACTTAAATAGTTTTATATTTCTTACTACGGAAGTTTTATTTATAAGATTAACTATGGTTAAGACCAGTTGAAGTTGTTGTTATAGCAACCCTATTGCTTTCACACAATGGGCTGAAGAGACAGACGTTGGTCGAATAAGACTCGGGTCGTTTGGGATCGAAGACCGCTCTCTTATTTGTTCTTTGAATATCCAAGAAATTTGTCCCATCCCTAACAATTGAGTGATTATCGAAAATAAATTAAATTTTTATTATATTTATAGAATTTTCAAAATTTTGCAGTAAAATTGAAAATCATAAATGAAAATAAAAAAATTGTCTAGTTTTTATATATGCGGAACAATATATAAATTTTGTTAAGTATTGTTTTGTTATTTTGTTATCTTTGTGTATGAAAACAAAACGGGAATGTATGATAATTTTGAAAATATTTTTTTTTTCATTTTCAAATGTTTCTCTTTTATAATTGTGTGTGTGAAATATTTTTCAAATCATGGAAAAAACAAACGATTTTTTACGCAAAATGTGCCAAATAAATTTGCATACCATTCGGATGGAATGTATCACAACGAAGACGACATACGGTATAGTGGTGAATAAGATTATTTTATGTCGTTTAAAAGAAACTCTTCAAAAAATATGATTCTATAAGATTTATTGCATAAAAAGCTGTAAATCGCAGTCAAATTCCAAATTTCGATAATTAAATTAAATAAACTAAGAAAAGTTTAAAAAATGAAAACATATAAAACATGTGTCCTATTTATTTAATATATACAGCCTTATTCTGGATATTAGCTGGGAGATATCTCGCATGTAAAAAAATTTCGTTTTCACATTCTCGCCTTATTCTATAAGATTCTATAAGATTTATTGCATAAAAAGCTGTAAATCGCAGTCAAATTCCAAAATTCGATAATTAAATTAAATAAACTAAGAAAAGTTTAAAAAATGAAAACATATAAAACATGTGTCCTTTTTATTTAATAGATACAGCCTTATTCTGGATATTCGCTGGGAGATATCTCGCATGTAAAAAAAATTTCGTTTTCACATTCTCGCCTTATTAAAAAAATGAATAGGGAGACGCAAAAAATGCGAGATGCGGAAATGGTGGTTGAAAAAAAGATTAGTGTTGCCATATTGTAATTTAAGTTGTAATGTGTGTTGCCATATTGTAATTTAAGTTGCAATGTGTGTTGCCCCATTGTAATTTAATTGTGTAATATTTTTCAATATTTTATTTATTGATTTTTTTATTAAAAATTATAACAATACAAATGTGATATATAAATAATCCGTTGTATAAAGGCTTTGTAATTAAAAGAAAATAAATTAAAGTTTAAAAATATGGCAACCTAAAATATGGCATGTGAAACAGCTGTTCATTGTTTTGATGCAATTTGGTGCAACAACTACAATAGATTACAAATAAAAAAAAAAACATTTTTTATGATGACAATAACACAACGAATAATGGGAAGAAATCTGCGATTGAATTAATTAATTCACAGTTTATTATTTCACTACATAATTGTGTACCTCTTGATTTAATTTCTATATTTTATCTCCCCATATTCTTAAAGTGGCCAGTTATGATTTGCTCCTACTCCTTTATTTCTTACTTCAAATCATGCACACGATATTTTTTTTTTTTTTAATTTATTTATTTCTTTTTTTTTGAAAATTTATTTTTGTTTTTCATAATTTTTTTTAAGTTTTTCCTCACCCAAAATGTCTGTATATTTCGCATCCAAAATGCATCAAACTCGACTTAAATACTCTTTATTACCTTTATACATTCCTTGGCAATATTTGGTTAAGCATGCATCGTTATCAATAGGATTTCCAATGACATTTTATTTGTTGTTTTCCAGTTAAAAATTTGCTTACTATCATTTATAATATTCTAAATCGTCATAGAATAAGTATTATGTAAATGTTTTTCATACAAATATTTAATACGTATGTTTTTGTAGTCAGCTCCCCTTGAATTTATTAGCGAAAAATTTCGCACAAAATTTCATCTCATTCTCCTACTCCCTGTCATCCAGAATACCTAATTTTTCCCCAAAGAGGATTTTTTCGCTTTCGAACTTCATTCAGAATAAGGCGGAATCGAGAATGCGAAAAAATTCACAGGAAAATGTTGTTCAGAATAAGTCGAAGGGGAAGAGCGAGTAAATTCACGTGGAATTGACATCCAGAATAAGGCTGATAATATTTTTTGTATATCGATGCAAAAAAGAACTGTGTTAGTTTTTTACACTTAATAGTACGTTTACATTATATGGGATTTTGTTAACACAGTGGGTTTCAAATGTCTTTCCATTGTATTTATGTCAAATTAATCCTCACAAAGAAGGTTAACCTGGTAAAAAGTTCTAATGTAAATGTCGTTTAAGTCTGAATTTGTCCGATCTTTTGGAAACTGAAATATATTATTGAGAATCTTCTAAGTTGATTCCAATTAGTCTTAAATTACGATTGTTTGCGTATTTTAGGGAACTTTAGGATAAAACCACAATAAATAAGCAAAGAAACATATTGTTATTTACAACAACAATAATTTAGAAGAAAACTACGAAACAGGGTAAACTCGAATTTTGATATTATTTAGTTTTTTTTACACTTAAGTCTGAATTTGTTCGATTTTTTGGAAACTGAAATATATTAATGAAAGTCTTCTAAATTGATTCCAATTTATCTTAAATTGCGTTTGTTTGCGTATTTTATGATTTATCTTTTTTGTAGGGAACTTTAGTATAAAACAACAATAAAAAGGCAAAGAAACATATTGTTACCTACAATAACAATTTGGACGAAAAATACGAAACTTGCAAACTCGAATTTTGACTACAAAACAAATAAAGTTGCTCGTAACCACAAGTAGGTTTTCCAAGGAAAGGGAGAAGAAATCTCGAAAGAAGATAATACGAGATATCGGACCTGGGTTCTCTTTAGGATATATACTATAAAAAATTTACTTTTTCCAGCATTGATTAAAAATAAAAGTGGACATCGCCTTGGTTCAGGAGCCATTTATTTATAAAAGGATGGTTTTTGGATTAAGAAATGCCAACTTTGACATATTCGCCGCGTCCATGAGGGACAAGGTGAGGGCCTGTGTAGTAGGTAAAAAGAGTTGAAATCTAATCTTTCCAACAAACGAGGTGAGTCTATTTTCGATTTTATTCTATCCCATAATTTACGTATATGTAATAGGGTAGCGATCCGACCATTAAAATTAGGGATAGAGACTTAACTCTCTCAAATTTAGATGACTCCGTCATTCAATTCAATTTCAATTCAATTTTATTTAACATGTAATTCAAAGCCTTCAGGCCCATTAAAGATAAATTACAAAATGCATATGATGTGCTTAACCTAACAAAGGATAAACTACCCCAAAAAAATAGCAATAAAAATTCAAAAAATTAAAACAAATTCATACAATCATAAATACCATAATAAAAACTACTCCTACACAATCTAACATAATTAAATTAAGTTAACATAATTAAATTAACATTAAAACTAACAATATAAATATATTAACAATATATATATAATACATAATAAAAAAATATTAAGTGCACTTTCAAAAACTTTCACAAATTAAAATAATAGGCACAAAGCGCAAGAACAAACAGGTGAAACCACCAAAATATAAATCTATTATTTTCCAAAGGTCAACACCAATAGGTATAATTAATAACACCAGAAAATTTCTGAAACAACAATTTTGAAAAAATATTTACAGAGACGCTAAAATTTCTCAAATAAATAGGAAACATGTTAAATATTCTGGCTGTTCTAACCACAAAAGAATTTGTCATAAGAAGAGAAGCATTAGGAACAGACAATAGATTAAGTCGCGTAGAGTGCAAAAAACAAAACGATTGAAATAGAAACATAGGCGATTGAGCTTTCATCATTTTGAAAAAGAACAAAATTAAACGTATTTTAATAAAGTCCTGTTTACCGCCAACTGAACAAAATGTAAAATAAAATGCGAAGTACCTGAATGCTTGTATCATCATACGACACACTAATATTAAAATTTCTATTGCGGGAAAAACAGATTGCCTTTGTTTTTAAAGGGTTTATCCTAAGATTATTATCCACCATCCAAGATAACAAAATACCCATTACCAGATCTATTTTCGACTGGGCAACCAGAGAAGATCGAACATCACCTCTAAACAACAACTGGATGTCATCAGCATAAGCAAACTGACTACACCAGGCACCCAGTTGAGGGAAAAGATAATTTATAAAAATTATAAAGAGGAGCGGCCCCAAAACCGAACCCTGGGGTACACCACTTGAAACAGGCAACACGTTGCTATACCTATTGCCAATACAAACAAGTTGTTTTCTATTTGACAAATAGGAGTGAAGCAAGGAACATGCAGTACCAGAAAATTTGTAAAAAGCACAAAGCTTGTTCAACAACAAATTGTGATCAACTCTGTCAAATGCGTTCTCGAGGTCCAACGAAAGTAAAACAGCGAATTTGCTATAATTGCAGTTACTACGAATAGCATCGGCCAAGCCTAATAACAAAGACGACGTGTTCCTACCTTTACGAAACCCACACTGTGCATCATCCAAAAACATATTAGTTTCAAAATGTGACTGAATTTGTGCTTTTATAATATGTTCAACAACTTTCGATAGGATTGGAAGCATTGAAATAGGTCGGAAATCACTTGAACCCTTTTTCCTTATGGGAATTATCCTAGAAATTTTCCACTCATCAGGAAAGACCGAAGTAGATAAAATAGTGTTAACAATGTGCATAAAATCACGAGAAAGAAGCGGGAACACTTTTCTAAGGAATTTCAAAGAAAAACCATCCAATCCAGAAGCATTTGACTTGATCATAAAAAAAGCTTTTTCTAATTCCCCTAA